TTATCATTTTAATCCGCTATTGATAAATTGGAGCCGCCTTTCCGAAGTCATTTGATGGTATGTTTCAAAAGCCTTAAAAACATGCATATCCTTTTACCTAGAAATTCAACATCCAGGAATTTATAAGAAAATGGTAAGGTAGATGCTTAAAGATTTATAGTGGTGAAATATTAGAAACAATCCTAAATGTTCATCAGTAAGGGTAAAATAAAAATTCACTTATTCGACAATTATTTGTGGAGCACTTACTCTGTGCCAGGCATTTTTCTAGGTTCTAGGAATACAATATTAAGACTTACTTTCATTGTGTTGGAAATGACACAAAATAAACTGATAAATAAGAAAATATTAAGTATTTATAAGTTCTATGATAAAATTAAATTGGATACTGTGATAAGAACTGAGTGGGGAGTAACTTTTGATTAAGTGGTGAGGAAGGGCTCCTCTGAGGAAGTGATGTTAAACTGTGATCTCTAAATGACAGGAAAGATGCAGTTTGCAAGATCTGACAGAAGAGCATTTGGCATCTTAGGCAAAAGGAACAGCCTTCCACACAGAGGGAACCATAAGTTCAGAGAGGCAGTGTACTAATCGGTGAAGAGCACAGGCTATGGAACAATGGGGCTAGTAAATGCCTGATTTGGATCCTCTGCTCTGCTGCTTAGTAGTAACTTTAAGCAAACTGCTTAACCAGTCTGTGGGGTGTAAATGTGAGAACATATGTTGGCAAATATCTAAGAATATCTCAAAGCACTAAACTCTATGATAAAATTACTAGAGGCCCGGTGCACGAAATTCATGCATGGGGGGAGGGGATCCCTCAACCCGGCCTGCACCCTCTCAAATCCGGGACCCCTAAGGGGATGTCCGACTGCCTCTCACAATCTGGGATTGCTGGCTCCTAACCGTTCTCCTGCCTGCCTGATCGTCCCTAACACCTCTGTCTGCCTGCCTGATCACCCTAACTGCTCCCCTACTGGCCTGATCGCCCCTAACCACCTCCGGCTGGTCACAGGCACCCGGGATCCGGGCTTCCCTCCCTCTGGCTGGCCACAGGAACTCAGGACCCAGCCGGCTTCACCCAGGCCAGCCGCAGCTGCAGGGAACTGTGAGGGGGCGGCTTCGCTCAGGCCACAGGTGCAGGCGCCCAGGACCTCGGGGCAGGCAGCTTGTCCCTCTCCTGGACCACAGGTGCAGACACAGTCGCTGGTGCCCGGGACCACAGGGCAGACGGCTTGTCCCTCTCCCAGGCCGCAGCCTGTCTGGTCCCCATTCCTCTCTCGCAAGCTCATTTGTGCCTGGCTGGTCCCCATTCCTCTCTCCCCAGTGTTGAGTGTCTGAGCCGTTACGGGGTGAGGGCGTGGTGACCATTTGCATATTAGCTCTTTATTATATAGGACTATTAGGCCCGGTACACAAAATTTGTGCACTGGCAGGGCGGGGAGGTGTCCCTCAGCCCTACCTGTGCCCTCCCACAGTCTGGGACCCCTCAGGAGATAACCACCTGCTGGCTTAGGCCCACTCCCCAGGTGGCAGATGGCAGGCCTGATCCTGCAGTGCCTGCCCCACCTCTCCGGGTCGCACATGGCAGGCCCAATCCCGCGGTGGGGCGGGCGGCCGATGGCGCTGCCCCGCCCCGCCTGCAGTATGCAAATTTAACGGCCATCTTTGTTGGGTTAATTTGCATACTCTTCTTATTGGTTGATGGGCGTAGAGAAGGTATGGTCAATTAGCATCTTTGTCTTTTATTGGTGTAGATGATAAAAATAAGTCAGTAATTTTTACCATCTATGATACCACATAATATGATCTACACTAATAAAAGAGAAACATGCAAATTGGTGTCACTCTGCTACACCAGCAAGCCACGCCCACCAGCCAATCAGGAGCAAGTATGCAAATTAACCCAACCAAGATGGCGGCGGCCATGGAGCTGGAGC